TTTTAAGTTCTGGTATCTGTCTGGTAGTCACAATCTACCAGATTAATTTTAATTACTCCAGATGGGGAAAGCACATGACCAAGTTTACTTGAATTATGTCTAAAGCCATGAAGAGTAAATAGGATCTAAGAGGAAATGCGAGGTGCCCTCTTCACAGGTTTTGTGGTGCATGGGCTTTGTGACATCTATGCCTTTTTTTTTAAATTGAAGTATAGTTAATTTACAATGTTGTATTAGTTTCAAGTGTACAGCCAAGTGATTCAGTTACACACACACACACATTCTTTTTCAGATTCTTTTCCATTATGGGTTATTACAAGATATTGAGCACAGATCCCTGTGCTGTACGGTAGGTCCTTGCTGACGTCTATGCCTTTTTGTCACTCTCTGGTTTGTAAAGGTTGTTTTGAAGTTCTCTCCAGATGATGAGGGGAAATTAGAGCCTATACATCTTGCAGGTATATACTGTTGACTGCAGTAAGACGAGTCCCCCGTAACAGCCAGTGTGGATATTTGGGGTGCCTCACAACAAAATTCCTGGATGTTATTGTTTCTAAAGAGGAGAAATGTAGGGATCTAGTTATGAGGAATTTGCTTCCTTTACAGGTTTTTTGCTGCAAATGCTGCAAGTGTCTCACCAGCTTGCTTAGTGACTTGGCTTCCCTGTCTACAAAGTGGAGTGGTCAGGGGTATCTGGTCTCCTGTCTCTGAGCCCCTTTCTGGATTCAATAAATATCCAGTCTTAATTCCCTATTCTCACACTCCCTAGCATTTACAATGATGGCAAATCTTGATACCCTCCCAGGCAAATTTTATGATAGAAGTCATTAGTTTTATTCCGCTTGTTATAATTTGCATTTTAAATGTATGTTTTTTAAAAGACTGTTAAGATTGCCATAACTTTACCAAGTGATTTGCAAGTCCCAAAGCCTGCCAATTAGGTCAGATGGCCATAGCAGCAACTGCTTCCCATCAGAAGGGCTGAATCACTGAGGAGCGACCACCTTTCAAGTGCTGAGTGATTTACCAAGCCAAGTTACTTTGCACCTTGGGATAAGGAATGTAGGCTATCAGATTTCCATTCATCCTTCTGCCCTTCTGGTAATTTCGATGTTAATTCTCTAATATGAACTTATTTTTTCCTTTGTTTTCTTTCCAAAATAATATATTCTAGTAAGAAGTTCAAACTGTACATACTTATATAATAATTAGAAAAAGTGTCAAGTTCTCTGTTTCCTCTCTCTAGAGAGAGCTACTCTTAACAATTTTGTGAATATTCTTCCAGATACTATTTTCTATTCTATATGTTAACGTTTTCTTAAGCAAAAAGAGATTGTGTTTACATATACTGTTTTGCAACTTGATTTTGTCTCCTAGCAATATGTCTTGGAGATGTTTCCATCTTGTATATATAGGTCTGTCTCATTTTTTACCATGGTTCTGGTTTCCATGGTGTTGTCACATCAGAAATTATTTAATTAGTCCTCTTGGGCTTCCCTGGTGGCGCAGTGGTTGAGAGTCTGCCTGCCGATGCAGAGGACATGGGTTCGTGCCTCGGTCCGGGAGGAACCCACATGCCGCGGAGCGGCTGGGCCCGTGAGCCATGGCCGCTGGGCCTGCGCGTCCGGAGCCTGTGCTCCGCAACGGGAGAGGCCACAACAGTGAGAGGCCCGCGTACCGCAAAAAAAGAAAACTCATAATTAGTCCTCTCCAGTCTTAGTTTGGGTGCTCCCAAATCTGATCCTAAGACAAGGACGTGGGTGCAAGCAGGCTACTAGGAAGGTGATCCCAGGAAACACCAACAAGAGGCTGGGGAAGTGAGACCAGGAAGGGAGGCAGGCCAATCAAGGACGATTTTTTTCTTAATTTATTTATTTAATTAATTAATTTATTTATTTATTTTTGGCTGTGTTGGGTCTTTGTTGATGTGCACGGGCTTTCTCTAGCTGTGGCGAGCGGGGGCTACTCTTCATTGTGGTGTGTGGGCGTCTCATTGTTGTGACTTCTCTTGTTGCGGAGCACAGGCTCTAGGCACGCGGGCTTCAGGAGTTGTGGCACACAGGCTCAGTAGTTGTGGCTCGCGGGCTCTAGAGCGCAGGCTCAGTAGTTGTGGCGCACGGGCTTAGTTACTCCACGGCACGTGGGATCTTCCCAGACCAGGGCTTGAACCCGTGTCCCCTGCATTGGCAGGCGGATTCTTAATCACTGCGCCACCAGGGAAGCCCCCAGTCAAGGACGATTGATGCGTGGGTAACTGCAGCTCGGGAGGGCCCCAGGACCACCGTCAGGTTCAGTGATTCTCTAGAAGGGCTCACAGAACTCAGAAAAGCTGTTATACTCCTGGTTATGGTTTATTGAAGTGAAAGGATACAGACCCAAATCAGCAGAAGGCAGAGTCCAGGAGAGACCAGCCATGAGTTTCCAGTTGTGTATGGACAGCACTTAATTCTCCCAGTAACGATGTGTGGCAGCATGCTCGGAGGATCACCAACCAGGGAAGAGCACTGAAGGCTTGGTGTCTAGGGTTTGGATTGACCCTAGTCCCCAGCCTTTTCAGAGGTCAAGTTTCTATTGAGTGGTCCAAGGCCCCTACCGAAAGTCACATTGTCAGCATACACTGGCACGTCCCAGGCAGAGAGCACCGGGCGCTCATGGTAGGATGCCAGCAACAGAAGCCATGGGCAGCCTCTGGGGTGGGCTGAGGGGGCAGGCAGGGTACCAACAAGCCTCAGCCACACTTCATCATGAAGTGTTTTTGTTATTTCCATTTTTCATTCTCACAAATGATGTTCTAGAGCAGGGGTTGGTGAACTGCTTTGTAAAGGGCCAGCTGGGCCAGCTAGCAAATATTTTCAGCTTTGCAGGCCACACAGTCTCTGCTGCAGCTACTCAACCCTGCTGCTGTAGCACAAAAGCAGCTGCGGGCATTATGTAAATAAATGGGTTTGACTGGGTTCCAGTAAAACTTTATTTACAAAAAACCGGTACAGACCAGATTTAGCTTGAGGGCTCTAATTTGCCAGCCCCTGCTACAGTGGATAATTCTTGGGTGTTTATCTTTGTCCATTTGTGCAGATAATTCTATGGGACAGATCCCTAGAAGTAGAATTGCTGGATCTGGAGTAATGACATTCTTATTTTGAGCAGATACTGCGAACCTCCCCCAAAAGTTGAACGTGCTTCCTCTTTCACCAACAGTGCCTGAGAACCTTTGAGATTTCCTTTCTTAGAACCACTTGCCAAGGAAGCAAAACCTACACCTATTGACTAGGATGTTTGTGCATTTTCATTCTTGAGCTTTGGAGAGGCAGAGGAAGACAGAACATTTTGCCCCCAGGAAAGAAAACCAAATGGGGCCTGAAATGGTCTCCTAATGTCTTACTTTAGATTTGAGGCCCACGGGGAAGGGGACTCTGGTAACTTGTTTTCATTTGGTGAAAATTAAACCTTACATTGCCCACTAGGTGTAGTTCAAGAGTCCTGAATGTTACCTATTCAAAAAAGATTTTTTTTTTTTAAGATGCATCAGAGAGCTTCTCAGCAATTTCCTTTATTAAGCAAAGATTCTTTTCCTAATTTTTCTCTTCCGTAAGGGATTTTCATATAAATAAGGTCTACCTATGCATAGTGAACACTTTACCAAATGTACAAAAAATATACATGGTCCAATTTTTGTTCATGGAGCTGACAGGTACGGGACACTCTTGATGGAGATGGCACAGCGTTTCACTTAGCCTGGTTCACTCTAGGTCTTTTTTGGGTTTAAAGACAATGGATGGGATTTTTGTTTTTGTTTTTCCACTTTTCTTTTTTTCCCCATATTTTTACGTTTGGAATTCTTGATGTGAGCCCCACAGGGGGAAATAGAGATTTGTTAGCATTCAAGCTCTGTTTTGGGCTGCATATTTTAGCTGGTTTGTTTGATAATGGGCATCCCTCCTGGGATCCAGCCTGCCTGTGCTCTGCTCACGCTGGGTGAATTTGTGATGGTCCCCATCCTGTAGTCTTTCATTTGTAACACAGACACAGCCTGCTTCCCCGTTAGTGAGATGGCATGCCTGGACTACCCACATGCAGATAAGGAATTAGGCAGAACTCGGCTGGAAAGATAAATCAAGCTAACTATCTCATTAGGCTTGAAAGACACAAATTAAGCTTGCATGGGAATTAACAGCCTTCCAAAGAGTCATGCAGTGCAACAAGGGGAGGAGAAATTGCTGGAGCCCTTTCTCTCAGGAAACTTGCCTCTGTTGCCTAAGTCCCGTTTGTAAAAGGTCAAGAGGTAGAAATTGAGGCTCGAAAGAGCAGTGTAGTGTTTATTGAGCACTTACTGAGTGCCAGGCACAGTGTGCATTATCTCACTGAAAGCTCTCAAAGTACTGTTAAGATTCCTGTGTAACCGAGGAGGAAACTGAGTGCCAGAGGGGCTCCTTTGCTTGTCTCAGGGTCTCAGAGCTGTTGAATGACAGAGCCAGGATTCACCTAGGATGTCTGGCCCCATGGCCCAGTGGTTCTTATCTGGGATGAACTGGCCCCCTGGGGATACCAGGCCATGTTTGGAGACTCGGGGGTTGTGACAGCTGGGGGCGGTGGGTGCTACTGGGATCTGGTGGGTAGAGGCCCGAGGTGCTGCTGGACATCCTACAGTGCACAGGATGCCCCACAAAGAATTATCCAGGCCCCAGTGTCAACAGTGCCGGGCTTGAGAAGCCTGGTTTAAGTGCTCAGCTGGACTCCAGTGGTGGCTGGCAGTTCCACCAGGACTGTCCGGCTGTAGTGCCCTGAGGACAGTGTGGTGAGTCTACGAGTCAGAAGCTTAAATTTGCAGCCAAGGGACTCATGGGAGGATGATGAGGGAATCAGGGAATTCTCACGGTTAAAAGTAACAGTGTCCTGAAAACAAGGTCCTCGCATCTGCAGTTGAGGAGTATGGAGACTAACGCCTCTGTCTTGCTCCTGCCTCCTGTCCTGCCCCCTCCTCCTCTCGCCCCTCTGGCTAGTGTTCGGCCACAACATGAAGAGCAGCAACGACTTCATCGGGAGGATCGTCATCGGCCAGTACTCTTCGGGCCCCTCAGAATCCAACCACTGGCGGCGGATGCTCAGTGCCCACCGCACGGCCGTGGAGCAGTGGCACAGCCTGCGGTCCCGGGCCGAGTGTGACCGTGTGTCCCCTGCCTCGCTGGAGGTGACCTGAGGGCTGCGGGGAAGGCAGCTTTCATTTGTGAAAAAAGGAAGGAAACTTAGGACAAAAAATATGCCATATATGTATACTATTACATCCACATATGCACACACACTCACCACCACACACACAGCTCCTCTCAGAACTGAAAGGAAGCTATTGATCACAAACTGTCCTCCCTCAAGGAGCGAGGCCTGAGAACTTTCCAGAAGTCCCATCCATAGGTCATGAGCTGAGTGGGCTCTGCTCTGAGACTTACGGGCAGTGCTTGCTCTTGTGGATCCCCCTGCCCCAAAATGCACTTTCAACCTCAGGCCAGAGAAAGGGCCTCCCCAAAGGTGCCAACCTCCATTGAGACAAAATTTTCTAAGAGTTTGGCCAGTGTTGGGAGGCCTGACCCCCATATGCCCAAAATGCACACCCACTGGGTGACTTCTGAATGGGCTGCTGTTCCTAGGGGTTCTTCAAACCTGGTACCTTTCCCCAGAAGTGTTAAGTACTCTGTCTTCTCTTTAGTGGATGTGATAAATAGATTAGACTATTTGGAGAAACCAAACGGCAACAAAAAATATTCCAGTGTAAGAAGGCTCTCCTGGCTTAATTGAACTCGTCCTTGTGTTAACTTTTCTTCTGGGGACTCCCTGTGGGTATGTATGTGGATGTTCTGGTGTGTGTGCCCTCAGGTGAGCACGTGTGTGTGCCTGTGTGTCCCCTTAGTGAGCAAGGTGCTGGGCCGGGACCTCAGTCCTGAGTACTCCCTTCTCTCTGCCTCGCCCGTCAGTGAAGTTTCACCCAGCGCCCCCCTGTCTGTGAAGACCCCACCTTCAGTAACAGTAGCGTGTGTGTAAGTCAAGTAAATAAAATACGATAGAGCAGAAGTAACGTTTTTTTTGACCGAATCATGGCGACTGCGACTCACAGAAGACCGGCAAAGGACAGTTACAGGGAATAAAATGGCCACCACGGCTGCTGCACCCCCCCATCCAAGACGATACCCCTCCTCGTCACACCCTGAGGATCGCTCTGTGTTTGTGTGTGAACCAAAGTCATTTCTCTCGTGCTAAGAAATTAGTTAGTTAGAATAGATCTCTCTCTCTGTTGGATGCTTCTGTATCTTTTCCCACAGCGTATTGTCTGGTATAATGGGGAGCTATTTATTGACATTAAAGATTATCTATTTGTGCCACGCATTTGAGTTATCTTTTTCTTCATGAACATGGGCATGGAGGGTAGGAGGGTGTTTCAGTTCCTACCACTGTGTAACAAATCATCCCCACGACTCAAAGCACTGGTATTTATTATGCTCACAGATTTTGTGGCTCCAGAATTGAGACCAGACACAGGGATGGCTTGTCTCTGTCCCATGAGACCTACGGCCTCAGCTGGAAGACTCGAGGGCCACAGTGGGTATAACCAGACAACCGGTCACGCTGGACATTGTTGGTAAGATTAGTGTGTGGTCTGGGAAGGAAGAACAGTCGAAACGTTAAGATATATTCATCTGACGACTGACAGGAGAACCCGTGCAAAGAGAAGACGAGGATTTATGTTAGGTCCCTCCCATTGCAAGCAACAGGAAATTAACACAAAATAGTTTAAGCAACGAAGGAAGTCCTGGCTTCAGGCCTAGCTGGATCCAGGGGCTCAAATGAAGTGATCAGGGCTTTGTTGATCATGCTATCTCCTGGACAGGCTCTCCCCGTTCGGTGAGCGTCATGGCTACCAGCAGCTTAAGTTCCGACTCGTACTTATCATCAAGACCCAGCTCAAACTACCACTCCCTGATTTTCCAAGACAGAAATGGCAGCTGCTTCCTGTCCTCCCCACCAGAAGCTTATATTTCTATTTAACTCTTGGGGCCTTACTGTGTGCTAAGCCCAATACCTGCACAGCCTTGTTTAGTTCTCACAACAACCTTTTGACGAAGACGCTGTTATTATCCCCATTTTCCAGGGGAGGGAAGTAACGCTTTTCTCTATAAAACTATTTGCTTGTTCAGGGCAAGAGCCATGGCTACTTAGCTTTCTATTGGCCATGCCCAATAAAAGGGGCTTGACCTAGGTAACCCACTGTGGGCTGAGATGGCTTCACCCCTTCTGGCCGCATTGGGCATTGCAGGGTCCCCTCGTGGGTCCCTCTGGTGTCTCTCACTCTGGAGTGGAGATGGCATGAAGGTCAAGGGGGAAAGGCTGGGAGGTTGAGTTAGGTTATGTTTGTTAGGAGACGAAAGGAGAAACTTTTCCCTCTCTATAAAATGGCTTCCTTCCCGTGGTTGTACAGAAGAGGATAAAAATATGAGAGAACAAACAGAATGAGGAAAGACAGAAACAGGACAGGCATTCAGGACCAGAGATGAGGTTATATGGTGATTGGGCCCGTGGGTTTTGGAGCCAGAGAGGCCATGGTTCAAACCCCAGGCCCAGCACACCCTACCTGTGCCCTCACACAAGCCGCGGAGCTGCTCTGGGCCTGTTTCCTCATTACCTTACATTGGGCACTTCAGAAGCCGACGTTGAGGCAAGGACTCGGCTGCCAATGGTTTATTTGGGAGGTGAGCCCAGGAAGCATAAATGGAAGGATAAGTCAGGGGAAGGAGAAACGCAGAGGCTGCTTTAACTGGCATTGTGGGCAGCTGGGGCTCAGTCGTGCTGGGGGCCCACGTAGAATACGCTTGAGAATGATCGTTGTGGGGAAGCTGGACTATTTAACTACTGCCCCCTCGTCTCTCAGGGTCTGAGGGTAAACCCCGGAGGCGTTCAAGGATTGGCAATTTAGGACTGTCCTGTGTGGGCTGAGCCAGCTTGGGTAGCACCGAGAACTCCCCGGGCAGAGAATGAGGGGCATGTGCCTGAGCAAGTGAGCTGTCCCTCTGCATGGCCCAGCCCACCTCAGCATCCGGGGAACTCAGGTGGCCGAGGGCTGGGAGTGGGGCATCCCCAGCATCTGCTCCCCTGATTTACAATAACCACAGGGCTGACTAAGCACCGTGCCAAGTGCTAAGCATCTCATTTAGTCCTCATGCAGCACCCCACGTGAGAGGTGTTATTATTCCTCTTTTATAAATGAGGAAGCCGAGGTTTCCTGGGATTGAGTGGCAAGCGAGCATTAGAGCTAGAATGCCAGCCCAGGCCCAGCTGACTCTAGAGCCTGGTATGGGCTAAACTGTATCTCCCCCCAAACTCACACGCTTCATGAAGCCTTAACCCCCAGTACCTCAGCGTGTGACTGTATTGGGAGGTAGGCTCCTTAAAGGCAATTAAGATTAAATGAGGTCATCAGGGTGGGCCCTAATTCAATACGACTGGTGTCCTTATATTAAGGGGAAATTAGGACGCAGAGACAGACACACAGAGGGAAGACGGCATCTACAAGCAAGGAGGGAGGCCTGGAGACCCAGGCCAAGGAGAGCTCCTTCCTTCCCAGCCTCAGAAGGAAGCAACTCTGCCAACACCTGGACTTCAGACTTCCGGCCTCCAGAACTATGAGGCTATGAAGCTCTGTTATTTAAGCCACCCAGTTTGTGGTCCTTTGTTACGGCAGCCCTAACAAACTCATATAGAGCTGGTGTGGCTGACCGCTCTGCTGGGCTGTTTCATCTGAAAATAGGATGACCGTTTTTACCCCATAGGGTTGTACGTGATGTGAGGGTTAGCCGGGATAAATGCCTGCAAAGGCTTAACACACAGCACTTGATGGCTATTCCTACTGGGCACACATCAGGCAATGTTTGCTGAGTGACTGGAGGGAACAGCAGAAGCACAGATGTCAGAGCCATCCATGTCTCCAAGGGTAGTTTGTCAGGAGATGAGGGAAATGTGTTGAAAGGTGAAGAAATGACTTGGTTTCTATAGAAACCTGGACCCCAGGTGCCTTATTGTGGGCCACCTGCCCGGTGTAATTAGCATCCTCCTTCTCCTCAGCCAGGAGGTGAGAAAGGAGATGCATGGGCCACCTACACACCCTTTTTGGGGTGCGGGGACCTGAGTTCAAAGGAAGGAGGTAGAGGAGAAGCGGTGGTGTCAAGTTTTAAATCTGCATCTATTTTCCCAGGGCCCATCTTGAGCTGTCTCATCTCTGGGGACTCCAGATCCCCTCAGGACTCCAGTCTACCCCCTGGGACTTGACAGAAGCTATGACCTCTGCCCAGCCCTGCCCAGATGTGCTGGTTCCCAGGGCACCAGGAACAGCTGTTTTGGGTACTGATACTTTACTCCCAGAAAGCTGGGAATCACTGCAGGGAAAGAGGAAGAGTTCCTTTCCTTTCTGGGTGGCCTGTCTTCCACCGCCAGTGGGATACCTTTTCTTTTTTCATGGTCAAAAATACCATTTAAAAGAATCCAGGAATGAGCACCACTAAGTAAAAATTTAAAACTTATGTCTAGAAAAGAGACTGGAAGACATTGCCCTGAAGGTTGCAGGGGTTAACTTTTGGGAAGTGGTTTTGCTTCTCAATTTTATACCTTCCTATTCAGTTTTTTTGAAGGTTCCATAGTGATGTAATTGTAGTTAACATATATTGAGCATTTATGGGTCAGGCATTGTTCTAAGCACTTGTATGAGGAAAAGTATTGATTTGTCCCCATTTTTCGGATGAGGAAACTGAAGCTAAGATGGATTAACTAATCAGTGTGTGGTCACACAGAAGCAGGTCTGGAATTTGAACACAGATACAGATGTGCCTGGATTGAAAGGCGTGAAATAAACTAGGCTCTACTGTCCCTTTTATAATGGTGGTGAGGGGAAGGGAACTTTGTTTTACTTACTGGTAAATAAATGACAATTTTAAAAAGCTAAGAAACTAAAGGAGATAGATAGATAGATAGGCAAACAGATGATAGGAAGAAAGAAATAGATCTTCACCGAACCCCCAGGCCACCATGAGCACAGTGTGTGTATGCGTGTGTGTACGCATGGGCCCGGGTGGTGGGGGGGGAGAGTAATGTCTTTAAGAACCCAGAAAATATATACTGTGTTACAGAGAGACCTCTACAACCTCCAAATGGCAGCAAAGATCCTATTTGTTAAGTGAATAAATTGTCTATTTCCTAGCCAGTAAACTTGAGGTCTAGAGCAAGGGGTGGCAAGCTATGGCCCGTGGGCCAAATCCAGCCCACTGCTCGTTTTTGTAAATAAAGTTTTATTGGAACCTGGCCAGACCCATTCCTAAAGTCTTTCACAGAGTTGTGGCAGAGACCACGTGGGCTGCAAAGCCACTACTATCTGGCTCTTTACAGAAAAAAATTTAAAGCTACTGCTGTGTAGGATGCATAAGTCTGGAGATGTAAGGTACAGCATAATGACTGTAGTTCATCACACTGTACTGAACCCTGGAGGTTTCCTAAGGGGTAGGTTTCACGTGCACTCACCACACACAAAAGTAACCCTGTGAGGAGATAATATGTTAATTAGTTTGACTGTGGTATCATTTCACTATATATATGTATATCACATCATCATGTTGTACGCCTTAAATACAAACAATTTTTCTTAAAAAAGAGAATTTTTTAGAAAGTTTGCCTACCCCCACCTAGAGCAATGCTTCATAACACTAATGTACATATGACTCCCTGGGGATCTAGTCAAAATGCAGATTCCGATTCAGCAGGCCTGGGGTGGGGCCCGAGGTTCTGCATTTTTAACGAGCTCCGAGGAGATGCCGATGCTGCTGGTCCGTGGACCACACTTGGGAATGAGCGTGTCACAAATACTTTACATGTTTCCATCCAGAGAGGGGGCATGAACCAACTTACCCAAACCTCCAGCCATCACATATTGTATTATCAACACAGGTCATTTAGGAGGTTTATTTGCCAAATCAAAGGCTCCTCCACTTTTCAAAAGTATTTCCAGCGGCCTGTGTCTGACGACCCTCCTTTTCCCCCTGGTTCATTCACGCAGAGGGTGTTTGATTTCCATGACAGCAGGGGCCTCTAAAGTACAGTCAGCACACCAGATGATGGGGAGTGGGGAGAAAGCCTTCCAACTTTCTTCCATTTTTATAGTTTGTATCAACTTTTTTAAAAAGTCAGTTTGGGGGAGGGCTGTTTTATAACAGACATGATGCACATCACTTATATAATAAACATATGTCATTTATAAATAAGTGTGCATGCTCTGGGGTGCCTCATCACAAAGCTTTGAGACAACGGGTAGACGTGAGTTACGCCATGGCTGAAACTGGGCCTGGGCTGTGCTCGTAGCCTGAGTCAGGCCTTGGCAGGCTTTCAGCCCCGTGTGGGCCGGCAAAACACGCTGTGTGGGCACGAGTTTTATTCCTCACAGGCACAGCGGCAGGTGTTCCAGAGAGAAAGTGAGCGACTGGGACACGCTTGAGCCCTTGTGAATGCCAGCCACACGAAGTGTCAGGGCACCTGGCTGAGCACTTCGGGAGAGAAAGGAGGGAGTGTGCAGGGAAAGCCAGGAAAAGACCTGCACTGGATCAATGACAATCATAGCAAAATTTGCTGTCAGGTATTCAACACCTACTACTAGCCAGCTTCTATGCTAAGCATTACAAATTATTACATTTAATCTTTGTGAGGTAGGTACTGTTATTATCCCCTATTTTATAAAGGAGGAAAGTGAGGCTCAGAAAGGCAGACGATACACAAAGACTGGTTTTTAGAGGTATCAATTCATAAATGCAGTGAGATTCCAATGAAACACCAGTGGATCTATTTTAAGTTTGAACACGCTAGAACTGTACACTAATGATAACGTTTGCTTCTTTTTGGTGAACACTTCCTCTGTGTCGAGAACCTTCTACCGGCACATCCTTTAACCTCCAAGAGACCCTGCAGGAGATGACGGGCCTGCCCTTCCTCCTCGCTGCGGGGAATCCAATGCCCTGGAGCTGGGCCGACACGTTGGGGCCCCGCTGAGCCAAAGCACTGAGGCCCCGCCTGCAGGGGGAGCCCTGTCTCAGCTCCACGTAATGTTCCCATGTGCAAAGGAGGCCCAATTCTTGTCAGATCTTCAGATTCGTAGCAGAGGCAGAAATCTCGACTTATACTTAAAATCTCCTGATCTTACACCCTGACAACGAAGTTTTAGAAATTTTAAAACACAGCATGGACCCAACACATCACATCCACCGGTGAGCTCGCTTTGGCCCAGGAGGCCTCTGCCCTAGATGCTGACTTGTATTTTTACCTTCTGGTACTATTTCCTCCTAGGGCTCCGAGATGCTTTATCTGCTGTGCCAGGCGGGGACGTGCGCGCCGCTACTGTCCCATCTTACAGAGTCTCAAGGGAGGCAAGCACGTGCCCAAGGCCACTCGGTGGCTCGGAAGCAGGGCTGCACTTCCTCTGAGTTCTCCGAAGGGGGCCGGCCAGGGGCGGCTTTCAGGCTGTCACTCTGAGCTGGCCGCTGCCGTGCAGGGAGGAAACAGGAGTCAGGGGAGGGGCGGGGGAGGAGACTGGGGTCTACTCAGTCCTCCTGAGCTCTGGGCAGGAGAGCCGTCCGGACCCGAGCTCCCACGGCAGGGCCTCTCTCCTCTGCTCAGGCCGTGAGGTGGCTTTCTCGGGGCCCAGGATGCAGAGGTGGGGACTGTGGGCCGCGGCCGTCCTGACCCTCCTCTCCGCACAGGCCTTTCCGCAAACGGACATCAATATCAGCCCAGGTGAGCACGGGGCCAGGGCCGGGAGGAGAGGAGGACACCCCGCAAATGCTTGAGCTGTCAGTGAGGCCTCGCTGCCTGGGCTGCAGGCCTGCCTGACCCAAGGAATGCTGGGGGGCCAAGCTGAGCCTCCTGACAGCCCCTCCAGCTGCTCTCCCTCCAGCTCATGCGCATTGTGCTAGGGCCAGACGCAAAGAGACCTGGTGATAAATCCCAGCTTTGCATCTTAAAAGCTGTGTGACCTGGCACAAGTTTCTTAACCTCTCTGAGCCTCAGTTTCCTTCAGAAAACGGTGGTCACAATGGCACCCTCTGGGGCTACTGTGCAAGGGAGATGAGATCATCTGGGGAAAGTGCCTGGTGCCACAGGAAGATCTGAAGATGGTATTTTTGTTAGGGGTTTGGTATCTGGGCTCCGCGGTCCCACCTTGGCTGTGACAGCTGTTCCCAGGGAGCTGGGCACACAGGAGGACATCGTTGTCCCTCTAGTGACCTCCCTGGCGGCCTGGCCCAGTGACACCCAGCTCTGCGGATATTCAGTGTCCCCAGGGATTGGGATCCATCAGCCTCGGGCATGTGGCCTCCCAGTGTCCCACTTGGAGGACGCGGGGCTTCAAATGAGCTCAATTTCTTCACCCTTGCAATAGGGAGGCTAGGGTGCTGACTCTGGGGTAGGAAGAATCCTGAGTCCTTCAATCCCTTCAAGGTGGAAGATCTTGCCTGTCACCTCTACCAGGAGGGTTCTTTCCAAACATGGTTTAAAAGCTATAATAATAATACCAATAACAACAAGTGATACTTTTGTAGCCCTCACTATATGCCAGGCACTGTTTTAAACACTTTTTACATATGGATTTATTTAATCCTCACAATAACTCTATGGCAGAGATACTATTTCTATCCCCATTAAAATAAAACTAACACTGTAATAAAGCATCTGTAAGATCCCCATAAAGCCATGTTATTGGGCAGTTACAGTGTTGAGGGGAATTTAAATAGTGGGGTGATAAGATTGAAAGATAAAATACCTGATGTCCAGGTAAATTTGAATTTCAGATAAACAAATCATTTTTTACTGTAAGTGTCTCGAATATTGCATGGGACATACCTTATGCTAAAAATTATTTATTGTTTATCTGAAATTCAAATTTAACTGGGAATTCTTTTTTTTTTTTTTAATCTGGTAACCCTAGTGATGGGAGATAAAGGGTGGTCCGTTCATTTGGGCAAGCATCAGGGGCTCTGGTCTGCCATAAACTCTCTGAGTGTCTGTATTAGTCAGCTCGGGCTGCCATAACAAAATACCGCAGACTGGGTGGCTTCAACAACAGGAAGAGCTCTGGAGGCTACAAGTCCAAGATCAAGATGCCACCTGATCCGTTACCTGGTGAGGGCCCTCTTCCCGGCTTGCAAGTAGCCACATGGTGGAGAGAGAGAGTGCTCTTGTCTCTCTTCCTCTTCTTACAAGGGCACTAATCCCATCATGGGGGCCCCATGACTCCATCTAACCCTAATCACCTCCCAAAGACCCCATGAAAACACCATCACATTGGGTGTTGGGGCTTCAACATGGGAATCTGGGGGGCACACAAACATTCAGTCCATAACAGTGTCTTTGCCTGCTTGCTCTTGTGCCTCAATATCCTCATCCGTGCAATGGGTGAGCAGGAGAGAAGTTGGACAAAATATCCTTGAAAGATACTTGTGTGTTCCAAGATCTTGCCTTTCTGCCCAGCATAAGAGGAAAGTCCTGAGGCTGAGTTTGAGAGTGGGAGCGATGGGGGGTCCTCTCTCTCTCACTAGCTTGTGACCATGGGACCTTTCTCTGAGCTTCAGGTTTCCTCCTGTGGAAAGTGAGGATGATAATGGTGTCCGTCAAACGTTTTGGGGAATCTTCAATGAGGTCATGCAAGTGAAGCACTTAACACATAGAAAGCACTTGAAAAATGGCTTGTTACCTTACTACTTCTGCCACTGTGGTTGATGTTATGATAGAATTGACCAGGAGACACAGTTTTCTGCTGTGACAAAATGCCTTCATAAAGGAGCTTCCAGACATCTAGCCCCATGCCTCAGTCCCACTCTACAGATGTGGAGACTGAGATCCCTTCCAACCCAGCAACTTTGGAGACCTCAGAGTTGGAGTTGGAATGAAGGGTCCCGGAAATCCACTTGGCCCAATCCTTCCACAATACAGCTGTGGAAACTGAGGCCTACAGAGGCCAAATAATCTGGCCAAGGTCATCATCCATCCAGTCCAGCAGAAAGCCCAGTTCAAGCCTGAGTGGATAAATCTGCTAGAGGAAAGTGATTTCAGTGCAGAAGAGAATGTGTGAGTTAAGTGTGTGTGCGTGTGTCAAGCGTGTGTGTGTGTGAGTGTGCGTGTTGATGTGTGACTAGGGAAGCCTTATCTGGGGTCTTGGTGAGCCGTTGGCAGACCATGAAGGTGGGTGTACAACCACAGCCCTCCATACTGAAAGTGGGCCTGGTTCTTCTTCCTCTCCTGCATCCCGAGCCTTTAGGTACAAAACAGAACAGGGTCATTCCATCCTTCATCCCACTGCTCTGGACCTTTCATGAACATGCAAATATACGCAAACAGTGCAACCCAGCCATACCCTTAGATCTGCTTTGGAAACAAACCTTTAGACACTTCTGAAAGACTGGGAAGGATTTAGCCAGACTAGATCCTTTTCCTAAAACCCTTCTCTGAACCTGGCTTTGATCACTTTGGTTACACGGATTAACAAATATTCAGTGATTAAAAGAGGGCCTGGCACCTGGTAAACGCTACATAAATATTTGCTGTTATGATTCTTCAACCATAACCATGAAAAGTTTCCTTTCCGTGGCTCCTGAGCCCAAGAACTTTCCACAGCAAAGGAAATTCTAGCAAAGCGTTTTGATGCTCAGGGTCTGCTTCTGCAGGGCTTCAGGGGTGGGAAGGGAGAATCAGTCAAGTTCCATAGCTTCTTCCTCTCCCCTCCAAGGAACTGGCATTGTGCACTCAGCACCAGGATTATTCCAGGGCCCAGGCTGTTTCTGTTGTAATATCTCATGTTTACTAGAACAGCTACTATAAGCCAGGCACAGGCTTCCCTGTGAAGTAGGCTCTATCATCATGCCCATTTTACAGATGAGGAAACTGAGGCACAAAGAGGTGAGTTTCTAACTGGAGTCATCTAACTCCAGAGTCTAAGCTCTGAGGCTGGAGCACAGAGGCTTGGGCAACTTGGTGTCCCTACTTCCTAGAGTACACCCTTCCCCACCCACCAGTCTGTATCATAGAGTCAGATCCTAGCGTACCCCCGCCTGGACACTCTAACCCATTCCCTACCCCTCCTCTATGGTCACAGAGCCCTCTGCATATTTCTAGAATGTTCCTTAGTATATGAGGACTCATTGCCATGTGTGCTATGCATTCCTCCCTCCAGACTGTGAGCAACTTGAGGGCACAGACCTCAAGCCAAATAAGCACCCAGGAAACACTGAATTATTACTTAATTATGTTGGTCTTAGTTAGCTCAGGCTGCTATCACAAAATACCATAGACTGGGAGGCTTAAACCACAGGAATTTATTTCTCACAGTTCTAAAGCCTGGGAACTCCGAAATTAAGGTGTTGACCAATTCAGTTCCTGATGAGAGCTCTTTTCCTGGCTTGCACATGGCCACAGAAAGGAGAGCTCTGGTCTCTCCTCTTCTCCTAATGGCACTAACCCCATCATGTGGGTCCACCCTTATGACATCATATAACCCTAATTTCCTGAAGGCCCCAGCTCCAAATACCATCACACTGGGGGGTAGGGCTTCAACATATGAACTGGAGGGGGACACACAAACATTCAGTCCATAATGCTGTTAAATTGGGTGTTTAATATATTTGTCTTGCCAAATGAGAAAACCAAGACCAGAAAAAGATGTGTTCTGGAGGCACTGTAGTGCTTAGGAAAATTCAAGTCCATCAGACCTTAATCTCATCCTGACACTGCCACTTGCTAGCTGTGGGAGTGAGTGACTTAACATCTTTGAGCCTCAGTTTCTGCACCTATAACATGGGGATGATACAGATACCCCTCCCAGTTTGGTCTCGACGGTTATATTAACCACGCAATGAATGGCCACTGTTATGAGCAATATAAAAAATCACCCAGTGCTGTCTCCTCTGTATCACGTGACCACAAAAGCAGCCTGGAAGGAGGGAAAGCAAAGCTGAGGCATGAGAGGCCTAGGATCAGCAGTTCTGCACCCCAGAGCCAGGGCTCACAGGGAAGGGCCCACTGAGGGTGGGATGTGTGGACCAGGGAGACAGCAGGCAATGAAGGTGACTGAGACCTCCCAGTGGCCACCTTCCCAGACACTGGGAGACACTTCCGACCCCCTGGGACATCTGGGGCCCAGTAGTGACGGCGGGGCGGGGAGGCCGCCATTGTGGCCCCCAGAGCCTCCTCCTCCACTCCCAGCTGGCTCTCAAGGCTGATCTGGGCAGGAGGAGGCAGGGTAGTGTGTTTGTGGGCAGCTGGACTGGGGCCAGGGGAGCGAGCAGCCAGATTGTGTGGGAAGGTGACAATTTATTCTTTTAAAAAGAGAGAGATTAAAAAAACAAGTCCTGAACTCCGGTGGCATGTCCTCTTTCCTTAACAAGCTCAGAGCTTCCAAAGGCTTTGACTCCCACCCCAGCTGGGAGACCTTGGGGGCCTTTGGTGCTGCTAATTGAAGTAAAATACCATGTATTTTGGCCTCTTTGTTTCCAGAGCAACAAGCTTTGTGCATCCCTCCCCCACTTCCACCCCTCCCCTCCGTCACCTCCAGCCTCATCCCTCCCTCAAATTCCCAGCCAGGCTGAACCTTTTGCAATTCTCCAAATGCTCCCTTCTCTCTCATGCCTCTGGGCCTTTGCACGTGCTGTGCCCTCCACTTGGAACACTCTTCCTCTGACTCTTCCTCCTCCTTCAGTTCTCAGTGGGGGGTCTCACATCACCCCCTCCAGGAAGCCTCCTGGATC